ACACTATTGGAGAAAGTTTGCAAAGGTGAAATCGATATGCAGCAAATAATGATTGCTGAAACTAGGCACGTACAAAATAGGCCCTCCTCCTCAACATCATAATCATCATAAAGCCTTTATTTGTGCCAATAAACAACCAATAATAGTCTGCAAAGTGGCGCAGTGAAACAGTTGTACAGCTGTAGAGCGTGTTCAGCAATACATTAATACAGACGATACCAAATCTGGACATGTCATTAACACAGGGTGTAAAGAAATTAGCTGACGTAGAAGTAATTCGTGTTCTTGTTAATGTGCAATTTGTTATATTTTAGTGAAAACGCAGCATGTTTTTATTTTCCGAAATTTATTAGTTTAGAACTAGCCTGGTTTGTCGCCGGTGAAAACTCTTCATTCACCGATAAACCGCTCCTTTTGATAGCAGATTTCGACTCAAGAACACTATCTTTGGTTTTGGAGGACTCAAATTTGACGATAACAGGTGAACATTTATCTTTACAAAAAGAGCCTATCTATGGGCGCGGGCAATGCGTTCACAAGGAATTTCCACATCGGAAAGAACATTGACAAATTTGGTTTCAATCTGCGACTAAGTTTCACCGGAGAAATGGTCAATGCCATGAAAGAATGAATTGTCATGACGTGACCTGCATTCCATTTCATCACGACGAAATCGAAAAACAACAACCTTATCCTGAAGGTGCCCGATGTTCTGGCGCGTGGCGCTTAGACCCCTTTGAACTTCGTCAATCGTTCTTGTTCTGGACTCGACTGCCGCTAGTCTTTCATCAATAGGGCTTAGTCCCGTCTCGATCATTGTTTCCTCCGCCTTTAATTCTTTCGCTGCACTAATTATGCACGCCTGTCCTTCCTACATTTTGATTGAACGAGTGCTTAGGTCTTGTAACAGCTCAAACATTTCATTGAACTGCTTAGCCTGGACTGCCGACATAGGACCATGGATTCAATTCCACATCCCCAGATAGCAATAGTAGTTTAAGATCAATCATTGAACAGGGCATCTTGCCAGGTGACTGCAGAGTAGCCAAGGTAGTCCCAGTTTACAAATGAGGCGACAAATTTAATCCTCATAATATACGCCCGGTTGGACTGACCAGTGTACCATACACAATTTTGGAAAATGTCATTTATTTTAATATAGTCAATTTTCTAGAATCAAAAAAGTTTTTCTTTGATAACTACACGATGCATTAAATGTAATTACAATGCGTTTTGCTAACACGCCCTTGCTTTTGATAGGTGATTTTAATTACCCTAACATTGTTTGGGGTCCGGGGGATCCCAACTCTGACCCATTTTCAGCAGACTGTGCGAAGTTTTTAAGTGCGCTTTCTGATTTTCATCTTACTCAGCTAGTTCATAGCCCAACTAGAATAACTGCCACTACTTCAAACATTTTGGATCTTGTTTTGACTACGATGCCCAACCTGATTGGTCCAATCGCATACCTACCTGGCCTCAGTGACCATCTGTTATTGCATTTTACTTGAGTGTTCCTAATATTTGTGTTAAAAACAAAAGAAAAGTCATTCGGGACTACAGCAAAGCTAATTATGATGCCATTAATCTTGAATTATGCAGTTTTTTAGATACTTTTTTGGGTAACTTCTCAGAATGCTCTGTTGAATCCAACTGGACGCGCTTTAAGGAAAAAGTGATTTCGCTCACTGAGAAATACATACCTTTGAAAACCATAATTGTAAACTCTAATTATCCGTGGTTCAACAGGGTGCTCCTGAGATTGTCAAACAAAAAGAAGCGTCTATTTAGAGCTGCGAGACTCACATCTTGCCCAGTTCGCTGGCAAAATTATTTCAGTGCTGCTCAGTGCTACAAGAATGCTGTACAGTCTGCTAAGTTCAACTTCTTCTTCACCTTACTACCTTCTATGTTAAAAAATAACCCGCGTCAGTTCTGGAATGTGTTGTCCCATCGAGATAAGCCTTCATCTATTTTATTGAAAGCACCTGACGAAACTTTGATCGATGAATCCTTATGTGCCACAATGTTCCAGGAAGTGTTTATTAAATCCTTTTCTAGCACCCCAAGCAATTTGAACCCAAGCTATAATGTTGATCCTTTTCCACTGATGGACTCTATCATAATCAGCCCCGATGGTGTTCTGAGCATTCTAAACGGCCTAAAGCTGTCATCGGCAACTGGTGTTGACGAAATTAACTCGAAATTTCTTAAAGCTACAAATCAGTACTCCTCTGTTATTCTCGCCCATCTTTTTCAGCAATCACTTGACACATCATTGGTACCTCGCGACTGGAAAATTGGTAGAGTTATTCCTCTACATAAATCTGGTGATAAGCACTTTCCTATCAACTATAGGCCCATCTCGCTAACCAGTGTTCCCTGTAAAGTTCTAGAACATATAATTTATACACAACTTGTTAACTTCCTAGAGTCCAATTCATTTTTTTCCCCAAATCAACATGGCTTTAGGAAATCCTTGTCCTGTGAGACACAACTACTGTCTATCACTAACGATTTTCATTCAGCATTTGATCAGGGATCTCAGGTGGACTGCATATTCTTAGATTTTGCCAAGGCGTTCGACAAGGTATCGCATAGACTTTTATTACATAAATTAAGTAAACTCAACATTGATTCTAACGTGTTTAACTGGTTGGTATCATTTTTAACAAATCGCTCGCAATTCGTAACATGTAACGGCATGAACTCTTCCTCCGCACCCGTCGCTTCCGGCGTACCCCAAGGATCAGTTTTGGGGCCTCTACTTCTCTTGATCTATATTAATGACTTGCATGAGATGGTTTCTTCTTCAATTAAACTTTTTGCTGATGATTGTGCTATTTATCGTGTAATAACTAATGACTCGGACTCGCAAAAACTACAACATGACCTCGACTCCATATTTAGATGGTGCATACTCTGGTCAATGGAGCTTAACATTAACAAATGTAAAATCATGCGCATAGCCCGCAAAGTTAAATTTACTATTGCTTATAACATTCACAACATACCCCTGGAACTTGTGACCTCCTACAAGTACCTAGGTGTGATCTTAAGTGACGACCTTTCCTGGAAACTTCATATTAACTATGTGATTAACAACGCTAACCGAATGCTTGGCTTTCTCAAACGTAACTTTCCTTTAGGTCCATCGTCATTAAAACTGACTTTTTATAAAACACTAGTTAGGCCTAAGCTCGAATATGCAGCTTCCATCTGGGATCCCTCAACCATCTACCTCATCAACTCACTTGAAGGAGTTCAGAACAGAGCTACACGTTTTATACTGCCCAACTATAACCGCACAGCAAGCGTAACGTCAATGAAAAGCACATTATTACTTCTGACCCTCGCACATCGTCGCATGGTTTTTCGAATCTCCCTTTTTCATAAAATCTATCACCATGTTCCTTACCTAAAAGCCCAGATGATAATCCCCCCATACTTTATTTCAGCACGCCTTGATCATCGTCAAAAAGTTGGTGTACCATTTTGTCACTCTAACGTTTATTACGCTTCTTTTATTCCAAGAACTTCGAACGATTGGAACCGCTTACCTGCATCTCTCACATCAATGACTGACCACGCTCTTTTTTGTAATTCTATTACCAACCTGATGTTCCCTATTGTTTGAGTTGTTTGAGATTTTGTTCATTGTTCCTTGTGTATTCTTATTGCTATTATTCCCCACTCCCCTCTGTAATGCCTTTGTGCCCTGAGGGTAAAATAAATAAATAAATAAATAAACACCAAATCATTGATATGCTAGAAGCAGTAACGTTTGTGGGCACGGGAACAGAATAAGTAAAGCGTCGTCTGACGTTTTAGAATGCAATGAAGGAACCGAGTCAACCTGCATAAGCAGGAACGGAGAGGTGTTATTCATCTGCATGGCGCAGCTATTCCCATGCTCACTACGAAAGTGAACGCTCTTCCAAGTGATTTTGTTGAAGATCGAAGCCGTTGTCGATGTCGATGAAGCTGCCTGAACGATGCAATGCAAAGCGAAGCAGTCAAAAGTGCTGACGGATCCTTCGCTGAACTCCTTGGGCGTTAGCGCGGGCGACGTGGAAAACACGGTTGCCGCCGGGCTTTGATATGTCTTCTGGTCAATCAAAGGAAGCGAAACGAGTACCTTAGTGAGCGAAAGCGGAGGGGCGTTATTCACCCGCATGGTGCACCTGAGCTGTTCCCATGCCCACTAGGTTAGTCTACTACAGCCGTTGGCCAAACCTTGTTGGTTCAAGAATTGAGAAAAAACGAATCCGTGTTACTTACCTTTAGGTACCGAAGTGGCAACCACTGACCCAGATCGTGTCTGCCACGCTAAGCAGGTACGCCATTGCGGTTTAAAGTACTGTCGCCACGGCTTCTTCAATCTAACGGCTCACCAACTTTTTGGGACTATTCACCGAAGAAAAACATTGACTCTTCCAGTCCTGTTACTGTCCCATTCCTCCCACTCTCCCCCCACGTGTCACGTGGCACAGGGTCCTGTGACACCGTGTTTGTGTCACGCTAACGCGGCGCGGCGTCAAAACCCGCCGGCACATTCCGTGTCTCCCGACTTAAGCCGTAGGGATAAGATAAGTTAATGAGAGTTTAAGAGGGCGTGACCTACTGTGTTTAGGTTTCGTGATTGGCTCTTCGGCGTTCTTGTCGGCTAACGTCGCCATCCCGTTGGCTGCGGAGTGATAATTGGATGCTATACTTCGTTTCAACTTCGGTCCGAGCGCGGCCGATGTTATGAGCCCAAGGGCCAATCAAACAGCGAAAGAGGCACACCGTCACGGCGTGCTCTCTGCAGTTGATAGGACCAGCCGGTATTCGCCGTCTCTCTGTGCGTGCTCCTCCGCCGGCTAGTCCTATCAAGCGCAGAGAGCACGCCATAACGTTGCGCTCTTTAAGCTGTTTGATTGGCCCTTTGGCTCAGAACATCGGCTGCACTCGGACCGAAGCTGAAACGAAGTATAGTCACTACTTTGTTCCTTCGACAGGCTTTATCCTGGCTGATGCCGGGTACGACGTTTGGCTCGGAAATGTCCGCGGAAACACGTATTCCCGTCACGTCAAATACAACAGGCGCTCGAAAGAGTTCTGGAACTTCAGGTGGGTAGACAGCTTTTTTTTTTTTTTTTTATTTCTATGAATTCAGCTCACAGCGATGGCTCGATGTGGCTTGACCACGGCCAGTTGGGACGCAGATGTCAGGCCGAAATCTTGCTTTAACCTCGCTAAACTAAGCGCACATTATAATGTGCGTTCGTTCTCAATACGTCCTAAGAATACGACGGAATTCTCCATGCTGAGGCAGAACGGACCCTTGTAAGTTACAACGCGTGACCAATTTGGGGTGCAGTTTTTGCGGTGTAGGCTTGGTTCAGAGGCTTCCTAGCTATTTGCCTTTCAAAATGGTGATGGCGTATAGTTCGACGTTCCTCTCGCTTGACCTAAGTAAATGTCATTAGTTTTTGTCTCCTTTTGTTTAGTTGCTGATAATTGCGACTTCAAACCGATTAGAATTGCGAGAATTAAAAAAAAAGGGATAGGTATTTTCTCGGTGCCGGTTGAATTATTTTCTGCGCACTGTTTTTACGGTGATGTGTAATAATATGAACATCCTCTCATAAAAAGAAAGGAGTAACGACGCTTATTTTCAAAGCTCTTTAATGCCTAAAATGTAGTATTTAAGGAGCAATCGTCTAAAATTATTTAGAAGGCATTCAGTGGGGAAACTTGGCGCATTAGTCCCGTGGTGTCAATTTTCCACTAAATTTAGCGGGATAACAATTTTGGTGTATATGGGCCACATGACGTCAGGTGATGTTACGTCGATTTTCGCTCTATATTTAGAGAAGAAACTGAAACGGTGTATTGGTCACATGATGTTAGGTGAGGTGCCATCAGTTTCCTCGCCGACTTTGGCCGGAAAGCATAATCGGAGTACAGATCACTTGACGCACGTTAGATCAGGTGGCATCAATTGACTTCGCGGGACCTAAACGTTAATCAAGTCTCCAGCTGAATTTATTAAAAGGTACATGGACGAACAGACGGTTGGACAAACGTGCACAGTTTCGGCAAGGGGGGGTCCCGTTAAAAGGCCTTTCATGCTTTAGAAGTATGCTCACAGCTGTATTGCTTTTCTTAGTTACTTTTATTATCACCTCAACTACAATAACATTTTTTTTACCTATGTACAATTAACGCCGACTATGAAGAGTTTAAATGGCGTAGTGGATCATGCACAGGGCGCTACACAATTAACACGAACACGAAATCCCCAGTTTTTTTTTTAAATATTTTTCTCGTCACAGCTTACTTAGTAATATATGAGAATACTTCAGAGTTATGTAGACGTCACTACTAATAACACACAACCATAAAAAACAAATCGTATTGTTCGCCGACATTCAGCAATGAAGAAAATGCGCCAGTTCTATCACGGTCGCGCAATGCGAGCGAAATTGTGCCGTCACGAACCTGAGGACGGTCGCGCGACGTGGTTAATTCTCAATGCCGTCGTGATTCGAGTCGTGGATTACACTGACGACCGCCACGAGCTCTCGGTGATCCGTGAAGTGGGCAAGCACGGTGGAAGTTTCTAACACCATAAAACATTTCGCGTAGCAACTGAATACGGCCAAAGTGGGATTTTGTATAACGCAAGTAATGTTTGACAACGAGTGTTTAAAGCAGACGTCAAGAAGAGTCTCACATCGTCGCGCCTTGACTGGCGGGACTCGGGCGCCACTCTTTTTTCTTCTCTTCGCGAGGCGTGGCCGACGGGGAGACTCGTCTTCCCTGGCCTCGCTCCAAGAGGGATGCAAAGAAGGGTTTTTCTCATAGCGGCGACGACAACCGACGGCCTAGAAGTCGCTGCAAAGTGTTATCCGTAAAACTATCCCTTAAAAAAAATATTATAAGACGTATTGTTTACTATGCGGGAGGCATCATCAGTATTTGTAGTACATCAAGGGCGAAGGTCTAAGCGGGATAATAAGCCCTGTGTGTATATAAACTCTCGCATTTGCTGTATACATACTGATGATGGTTCCCGCATATAAAACGAAACGTCTAATAATTTTTGTTGTTATGTTTTAGAAATTTGGTGTATTTTATTTTAGTTATACACGGGCAGTCGAATGTGCTAAATAATCTGGGGCACCTACTCGAGCAGGTAAATGTGTGGTCCAACACTAAAGAGCACGAACAAAATGCGAAATTGCGGCGTACTCGCTTTCGTGTTAATAGCTTTAAGCCGGGTTCGACCTTTGAATTGACACACTTGTTTTTATTTAGAGTATTAAAACGAAACCCTGTCTTAAGTCTTCACGCTGTATAAACGAGTTTACAGCCTTCGATGTTCATATCGGTTAACACACTGTGCGGAGCGCGAGTTCGTCTGCTTCTTTTGCGGGAGTTGTGGTGACGTCAGTACCCCGAGCTCTGATTGGCTCTGATTGAAGGATAGTGGGTAGACCTCGAGACAGCTTGCTTTGAGGTCTGCCCACCTATCCTTCAATCAGAGCCAACCAAATCTCAATGTTCTGACGTCACCACAGCCCCTGCAAATGAAACAGACGACTTGCTCCCCGCGTAGTCACTGAGATGCAGACTGAACGCAGAGCGTGTCGAATGCTGAACCTCTTATTATCGCTTTGCAGCCGATGAGAATCCGCCGCTAGCTGAAATTAACCCCAAAGTAAAAATCAGGAAGCCAGAATAGCTTATAATGTTAGGGAGCGCTAAGCTAAGACACTTAGATTGAAGTTTAAAGATACTGACAGCTTAAAAAATGCAGCGCGTTGCTTATTGTGTTCACTATTCTCCCTTTGAAATTAGTCTTTCGGCGGTCTAACTGACAAATATCGCAATTTCATTAGCTGCTAAGCTCTAATAAAACGCTCAGAACACGGAACGCCCAACGTTCCTTAAGTTGCCTGTTACTAGTATTCATTTTGTTAGTATTACTAGCATTCCTTAGAAATAAGCTATTTTCACGAATGTGTCTCGCATACAGTAATGTTGGTGACAAGTGAAAATATTTGGTACAATGATTTACTAGAACACTTGCTGTTCACGCCAATAGTGTCGACGAAATGATTGAGCGAGACCTGCCAGAAACGTTGGACTTCGTTCTTAAGCGGACCGGACGACAAAAGCTCTTCTTTGTTGGGCACTCACAAGGAACATCGATTATGTTCGGACTTCTTTCACTGCGCCCGGAGTACAGCGAGAAGGTGAGAGAAATGTTTCCCCATTTTGTTTTACCGACACAAGAAAATTAATCTTAACAACAAAAAAGGTATGCTTTAAAAAAAATCTCCGATTAGTGCGACAGCATTCAATACATTTGGCACTCCTACCCGTAGCGTGATTCCTTTTAAAGCCAAAACACCGTGCTGCGTATCCTCTCACAGGTAACCCAAATTCAAATCATAATAATAACGACTAAAAGAAACATATTCAAACCCAGATGTGCACAGTGACTTGATGCTTTCTCTTCAAGGCTTGCTCTACGGCAGAAATGTACGTTGAAACAGTTCACGTGCATAAAAAATAGGTCCAGAAAAGGTGTGGATTCCGAGCAACGTGGTCAATATCGTCATGACAGTTAAGTATTAAAATTTGCGACTGTATGTTGGTCATCGCTGAAAAACTCGGCTTATCTAGAATACGCTTTAAACGGTAGCTTCATAGGCCCAACCACGCTTAAAAGAGCAATGAAACAATTTTTTGACTTCCGCTAATGTTGTGAAAACGGAAAAGCCCCGGACCAGACCCTCCCCATCTAATCCGTCCGGCAACGGTGAACTCATTGAGAAGCATCGCCACATGGCTCTGGGCGGCTTGCCCGGAAACGAGGCGAGAGGCGACAAGGGGGTGCCGTGGGACCACCGTGTTGGCGTCGCCCCACCTAGGCGCGGAGCTAAGCCGGACCCTTCTTTCTGGCTGCGCTAACGTTGGTCCGAAACGGGGTCAGCCGACTCAAGAACGGGGAGGATTGCCGGGCCAGGATTCCGGGTAACGACGCGCCAGCTGCGGGACCTCCGTGAGGGTGGGATTATCCCCGGACGCCACCTGCGGATGATCCGGTCAAGCCCTTTCCCGTGCCTCAACGCCGTCTGATTGAGGGGTCAGCACCACCACGGCCAACGTCGTCACCCGGGCAAACAATGGACCCCTTGCTGTCGCCTCCTCGGCGCAGCTTTCGAGGGCAAGGGTGCCTCGGCGCCGGAGTGCAAAGTCCGGCAACAGCTGCAGTATGTGCATGTGGGTGTGTGCGTGCTCAGGGGATGAGTGGAGGCGGGGCCTGAACATGATTTGTTGGCAGCTCGGCCACCATTGGCTGCCAGCCGCGAGAGTACCGAAGAGCGACCCTATAAAGGGGGCAAACAGAATGCTGCATCGGTGCTCTCGGACGTTGTAAATACTTTGTACATATGTATTAAACAAAGTTTCGTTGCGAGAGACCCTCCCGTCTCGTCATGTTCCTGGACGGGAGTCTGCCCGCTGCTCCTTGCCTGGCCTGGCCCTGCGTGACGCTACCCGGAGAACCCCCTCGGTCCCAACAACTGGATGGCAGCGACGGGATCGACTTCGCCGGACCATGACTTCTTGTGTGGGTGAGTGCCCGGCCCTCTCTTTCTCAATCTGCCAGACCCATTAGCTCTAAGTTTTGCCTGTGGGGGTTGGAGATAGTCGTTGTTAGAAGGACTGTGTGACCGTTCTGACGCGAGAATTTTGTGAGAAAGAGAGCCAACACAAGCTAGATCATGAGTCTCGAGGCATTCCGTTGGCACGAGTTAGTGCAGGTTTGTACCGAATTGGGAATCGATTTAGGGCAGACCAAACGCAAACCGCATATTATAAAACTCCTTCAGGCCGAAGACGTCAGCATTGAAGAGTTCACGGAGGCTCTGGAGGAAGTTCGCGAAAGGGAGCGGGAGGAACGCAGAAAGCGGGCCGACGAGGAGGCTCGCGAGAGGGCTAGAAAAGAACTCGAGTGGGCTCTCGAGCGTAAGAGATGGGAACTCGAGAAACGCGAGTACAAGCGCGAAATGGAGAGGCTCGACTACGAGTTCGAGCAGCTCGAGCTCGCGAAGAAAGCGCGGGAGTTGGAGGCTCTTTCTCGGGCTGCAACAGGCGTTGAAGGGGTGACACGAAAGGCGTGTCAGGGAAAGGAGAAAGTGGGAGCTGGGGACACAGAGATGACCGAAAACCAGCGTCTTTCTCCCGACACGACCGTCACCGAGCTTCACAAGACCGACCCATACCCCGAGCGGCGGGACGGCGAAAGTGACGTGGAGGCAGCGACAGAATTGGTGTGTCAGGAAAAGAAGAAAACTGGAGCTGGGGACACCGAGGTGACCGGAAACCAGCGGGTTTCTTCCGACGCGACCGACGCTGTTCCACGCGAGACCGACGCCGTTCCGCGCAAGACCTGCCGAACGCCCGAGCGGCAAGAAAAGGAAGAGAAGGCTCTTCGGGCGTCCAGCTGCGACTTCCCGGAGGACGAAGGCGATGCCAAGACAGAAGCGACGCCGGGGGAGTCCAGCCAGCTCATGGAGAGCGGCGCCGAGATGCAACAAACAGCGGTTCAGCAAACAAGCCAGGATCCTGACCGCTCTGATCGGCACCCGTGCGGCTTTGAGGACAAGCCCACGGCGCCGTCGCAGGAGTCCACGCGGCTGACCAGGAGGGAGGTGATTGGGATTTCCTTCGACAAGGTCAACCACACCTGCCTGGTACGGCTGCGGAGCCCGGACTCCAGACCATTCACGGAGTCGACGTGCAAGGAGGACGTCGACGAGTACGCGTCCCGCAGCGAGTCGTCGAGGTTGGAGGACGGGAGACCCCAAACCGGCCATCCCAGGGGACCTGCAACCGGAGGCGGCTGCGCGAGCAAGGGATCCACCGGGAACACGATGGAGCCCGGGCGGGACAGAGCAGACCCGTCGCAGGTGCATCTAAGGACGTCGTCGTGCTCGCGGCATGGGAGATCCGATACCGAGAACCTGGATGCCGTCAGGAGCAAGCGACCGAGGCCGAAGAAGAAGAGGCGGCGCCGAATTAGCGTTGTACGTTCTGGCAGCAACGCTTCCTGCAGAGAACGTCGAGGCAAGCGCGACGAGCGCCACTTCAAGAGGAGGAAGCGGTTCTCGAGGCTGGGAGGGGGCAAACTCCAGGACCCCCACCCCAACGAGCCACGGACCCACAGCTCAAGTACGAGCAAGAATCCTGGAGAAGGCAACAACGAGCCTGGAACGACTCGGCGAGGTTCCAGACGGAGTCACAGCTCATCGCCTGTGGTTCAGCCTGGCGTCACGTCGGACGCGGAGACTAAGGGAGATCTCCGAGACTGCAACTTCGGGCCTGTACGCAAGTCCAAGGAGAAAAGCTTGAACAGTTCGAGTGAAGCCAAGGACAAACTGGGCGTAGGTTAGATGCAGAGAGGGACTTTTGAGGGAAAAAGGGAGGGCTAAACGTGTTTTTTATAGTGTAATTGAGTCGATTAGGTTATTCGGCAAGGTTATTAGCTTTTCTTTTTTCGGGAGTCCGAGTTTTGCGTTTCTTTCGACTTTAGCTTGTTGTGTTAGCGTTGTTCCTTTAAAGCGGTTTTCTCCTCAGTAATGTTTGGGTTCTGAAGGACGTGCTCGAATTTGATAGGGATATGCCCTATGTGAGTTACGTTGCGGTTTGTAATGTGTTTTTTTCACGGGAGTCCGTTTTATTTTGGGTTGAGCGTTAGAGGGCTTTTATTGGTCTACAAAAGTTTCTTTCGCTAAAGCAACCTGTCGTAGGAAATAAGTTTCTGTGTGTCTTTCGTTGATAGAATAGCACAGAACTTTCAAGTGGCATTTTTTATTGTTGTTTGAGAGTGGTCTGGCGGATTGAAGGTATGGAGGGCTGGGCGCTCGGCTGCGCGGAGTCTGGTTCGGTGTTGTGGGTTGCGTTACTGTCACTTCCCAGAGTTGACTCCAGCCTGGACCTCAGTCGCCAGCCTTGCCGTGAGACCGCGTCTTTCAAGGGACCAGTGTGGACTGCTCCCCTTCAAGACACTCTTCCCAGCGGCGGAGGAGCTGTTGTGAAAACGGAAAAGCCCCGGACCAGACCCTCCCCATCTAATCCGTCCGGCAACGGTGAACTCATTGAGAAGCATCGCCACATGGCTCTGGGCGGCTTGCCCGGAAACGAGGCGAGAGGCGACAAGGGGGTGCCGTGGGACCACCGTGTTGGCGTCGCCCCACCTAGGCGCGGAGCTAAGCCGGACCCCTCTTTCTGGCTGCGCTAACGTTGGTCCGAAACGGGGTCAGCCGACTCAAGAACGGGGAGGATTGCCGGGCCAGGATTCCGGGTAACGACGCGCCAGCTGCGGGACCTCCGTGAGGGTGGGATTATCCCCGGACGCCACCTGCGGATGATCCGGCCAAGCCCTTTCCCGTGCCTCAACGCCGTCTGATGGAGGGGTCAGCACCACCACGGCCAACGTCGTCACCCGGGCAAACAATGGACCCCTTGCTGTCGCCTCCTCGGCGCAGCTTTCGAGGGCAAGGGTGCCTCGGCGCCGGAGTGCAAAGTCCGGCAACAGCTGCAGTATGTGCATGTGGGTGTGTGCGTGTTCAGGGGATGAGTGGAGGCGGGGCCTGAACATGATTTGTTGGCAGCTCGGCCACCATTGGCTGCCAGCCGCGAGAGTACCGAAGAGCGACCCTATAAAGGGGGCAAACAGAATGCTGCATCTGTGCTCTCGGACGTTGTAAATACTTTGTACATATGTATTAAACAAAGTTTCGTTGCGAGAGACCCTCCCGTCCCGTCATGTTCCTGGACGGGAGTCTGCCCGCTGCTCCTTTCCTGGTCTGGCCCTCCGTGACGCTACCCGGAGAACCCCCTCGGTCCCAACACTAAATACTACTTAGCATCGCTCCCTAACGTACATAACTAAATAAACTTGTCTGAGTTCTTCTTCCTATTCAATGGCAGTCGCCCCAAAAATTCGAGAAATATGAGCATCGTTCATCCCCTGAACTCGGAGCCAGATCAAGCGGCGACGTGGACTGCCAACGTTAATTACAGCCACGTGCTGGGGTTGGCAAAGTAGAAAATGCGCACTGAGCTCCAGTCATTGATAGAGTTCGGCTATTCTCATCACTGCAGTGGTTGGACACGCGTCACTACCCGAGTGTTCTCCGAGACATCGATTGTAACGAGAGGAAGTCGAGTGCCCACGCAGTTCTCGTGTCGAATCCATGAGCCGCTGTCGATTATCGTCATGCGGGTGGTTTCGATCCCAAAATTACTCCATCAAGCTTTGCGATGGCAAGACTGAAATAAATAGTGCCCTTTTATTCTCGCAACTCCACCTCAACAAGGAAGCTTCTGAATCAGTGGTGGTCTGTGCGTGTACACTTGGGCGAGACTAGGATTTAAGTGCCTCTGCAAAGTCATGAACATTCCAATCCGATATCGTTTCTTGACCCCTGTGCCTTGAGGAGGTTCTTGAGATCGCCTAAATATGGCGATAGCTCACTCTGCGGGTGATAAGCATCCTGGATATCCATTATCACGACGATACGTGGCCGATTTAAAAAAAAAAAAAAAGAAAGATCAGGAAACACCAAGGTCATCTACGGCGATGGGAGGAGCATGTTCCGAAACCCAGACCACCGTCTGCTGATGCCCCTAAATAAAAAAAGGTAGCGACATCTTCTCCCTCCTCCCCTGACGCGTACACCTTTTATCTTTATGTTTTTCTTTTTTACACCCACGCGTTACACTCGCGCGTCGACTGTAGCGCCGCCTGGATCGGCCCAAGATAGCAGACGGCCTTCCTATACTTGAGTCAGAGCGCAGTCAAAGGCTGAAAGACACGCAAATACATGCACACAGGCTAAAAGCGCACTGTCACGGTCTGCCAGCCTTGAAGGATATGCTCAAAGAAAGACGATGGAAAGCCGTGACGTTGCACAGTTGGCGTTATTTGATTAGCGACATGAGCTCATAGGATGCACTGCACTCCGACATCATAGGCACTCTTTGTCCCTCCTCCTCTAACGCGCACACTTTTTATCTTTACGTTTTGCTTTTTTACACCAGCGCGTCGACGGTTGCGCTGCCTGGTTTGGCCCAAGATAGCAGGCGGCATTCTTCAAAGGATGTCGCTGCTTTTTCGTATAAAGGTGTTTTACTGTCAGCAAGCGAAGGATCCTCGCGACTCCGAACGGTGAAACCGCGGAGTGATATCTCGAATGCGCACGGCTCGTTGCCCATACGGCTCGGACTGCGATTCCACCCAGCGAGCGAGCGCTCGAGAGCTAGCGACCAGACCACGGTGTAAGATAAGTACTCTTCAGGTGAGGACAGCGCGCTCCTCGCGCAGTGCAGATAAAGTTCGCTTTGCACTCTCTCTCTTTCTCTCTCTCACTATGGTTTCAAGCGGCGCCGGAAGTGGACTCGTCGACCCGTGGGCACGGCAAGGACGGCTCGTGCCGCCTCATGCTCCACACGGGCAGAGCTCCAGCGAGGTTGTCGCTCGTGCAGAAAGACCACGGTGTACCGGGGTGTCATGGCGACGAGATAATTTTTTTTCGCTCTCACACAGTTTCGCTACAGTGTTGTAGTTTCGCCGTTTAGCCACCGGCGACACTGTCAGCCGCGGGCACGGTGACCGCGGAATAATGCCGCCTTTCGGATGCCCGTCGAACGAACACTATCTGATTCCTCGCGCCGCTCGTTCAGCTCCGCTGTGCCCTCACCTGAAGAGTGTACCTTACACCGTGGACCAGACACATCGCTCCCGCGGAAGAAAACAACAGCAAAAAGTGCTATTTTTAGAAGATTGTAGCAGGATTATTTTCCCTCTCCGTGAAAGATAACATGTTCCGACTACTCGTATTTGCTTTTACTATCTGCAAAAGCATACATATTTTCTAAAAATAGCGTTTGCCAACTCAACGAAATGTCGCGTTTTCATTGGGCACAAGTCGTCCTGGCTGCCGGAACAATACTCCTTCCATCGCCAGAGAGGGCTTGGTGTGTTCGTTCTTTGATCGCTTCTCTAATAAAACAATCGGCCGCACATCATTATCGTTTATGAAGTTCTACGACACATAGAGCCCCTAGAGTGACTTATCATATTTAGGCCATCTCAGGAATCTCCTCAGAGCCCCTTTAAAGGGGCGCTGCAATCATATTTACGCGTCAAACTTTTTTTGCGGTTTCCACGTCTCTTGGGGTTCGGGCAAGCCAGCGGGAACGGAGAAAGTAACTAAATATCAGTGCGTCATATTTTAACCGGACGATGCGGAAACCTCCTCCACCGACGAGGGCGACACGCGGTGCCGAAAGCACGCGACATGTGAGGTCTTTGGTCCTGGCCTTACTACTGGTTAGATCCGCTAAAAGCTTTTTTCTTTAATTTTTTTTTTAGCCGAAATACAAAATATAAGTGGCGCGAACCGTTTCTATTATGTATGAAAGTAGTTTTTGTTCAGTATTTTAGATCAGAAAAGAAACAAATGCAGTTCACAAAGTACGGAAACAAGAAATGACACGTCGACATACCCGCCACCAAACAGTAGAAAAGCCGCCGCATACTACTGGGTGATTCAAGGAGCGGCCAGGCTCTTTAAATTGACCGCAAAATTCGATTTCTATGGAAGGTCCCGGATGTACGCGGCGGCGCTGCGGTTGTTTACGGTCTGGAGGATCCGACCGGCTCCGAGCGTTCCGAAGGCCTTCAGCGAGCAGCTTTGTCTTGCGTTTTTGGCTGTTTCGCGATACGGCAGCGCGAAGTGGCTTCCATTCTGAACTGATCTTTACCCCGTGTTTGCTGTCGTTTGTGGCTAATGAAGTGCCATGCCGAATTAGTGTTTAATCGTGCAGCAAATGCAATGAGAGCCGCTCTGGCCGCCCGCTGTATGCAGCCTATCCAGAACACGCTTTAGTGGCGCCCTCTCGCGCCGCTTCGGGCGGGAGACAAGAGATGGCGCAAGTGGTCGCGACGCCAACTGCCACCAACGAACGAGTACACAGCGCCGAGAGCCGGCGTCTTTAGCAAACGATCCTTTCCTTGATGTCGTCCTCAACGTCAAACAAAGAAAAGAAATGTGTGTACGGCAGTAAGGTGGTAAGCTGGGCGAGTTGGTTCTGGTTGAACACGATGAAAAAATAGCGCACAAAAAGACGAGGACACGGACAGGAACGTGTGTACAGCATATTACAATCATTTCATCACCGTACAGTTTTGTTTCCTAATTGTTTCCACTAGCGATGCTCCTCTAAAGCTATCACATTTCATCGCGTTTGGTCGAATGAACGAAACCGCAACGGAACACCATAACACGATTTCCGAAGTGATCGCCATTGGTTGTCGCTGTATTCACACGTTTGCTTATTGACAGTCAGCTGTATTAGCCTTATTAACGGGCCGAAAGCCCATTAGGGAGGCTCCGCTTTCGAGGGATTCCTGATGCTGTGGTAGAAACCACAGCAAGGGAATGTCGCACAGAGCTCATAGAGGCTCTAGGAGGTCCTACTGTACCATACAAAGCTTGGAAGTTTATGCGCTTATGGGCTCATCGGGGATAAACATTGGTACTGTTTGGCCATGGTCACTCCTAAGGCATAATTCAAACGGCAGTCTGCAGTCACTGTCCGAAGTGTGTGTCTTTTCTGTATGACGCTCTTGTCCCGTTGGTCATGCAAGAACTGACTTAAGACATGCTCGAAGAACATATGTATGATGCAAACATGTTTCAATCATGGTTGGAGGAGCGTCTGCGGATAATTTTGTCATCATGTTTATAGCGAACAACGTGTATTTTGTATGATGTATAAGCCGTGTGGCTGCGGCTCTACAATCTAGGTTGAAACTAATGCAGATACAAGCACAAAGTGTGCGCTATTCCATTCATTTTTTGTCTAAAGCCCTCCGCTTTTTTCGTCGCTTTTTTATGCACTCGCTGAACTTGCGAAGGCAAGTGCACCGCTGAAAACAACAAACGTTCAACTAAGGAACTCCAAAAGAATAAGACACAGGTGGGACGAAGGACGACGTACGCTTTTTTTTATGAAAGTGAAAGCTTTATGAAGGAAAGTGCACGTCATTCCTCGTGCCACCTGTGTCTTATGCTTTCGGTGTTCCTCAACTCAACAAACACGCTCGTCTGTCTACAACGTTCTATTGTTGAATGAATACTGCCTTCAGTAGTCAGTCTAACCCATATCCGCTAGTCTATATACATGCCCAAAGAGAACTTAAAAGATAAATCACTGACGTCTGAGCTTAGTAAAATTATTTAACATGAACACGTGCTTAGTCATTGCTAGTGTTATAGCCGAGACCTTGGTCCTTGATCAAGGAGGGAGGTGATTTGAGGAGCTTCCTTCATTCGCCGCAGCTAATGGCACTTGCTATGTTCTGAGCGGCATCTAAACGTGGACGCAATTTTCGGTTTGGTAAGGTTGAATATGAAACAGAATATTTTGCTATCATCTAGGAGCCATTACTCAGAACTTGCGCGGGAAACAACTCAGTAATTGGCCTCTTCTGTCTAATACACCTTCCTCCTGACCTTCGAAATGTTGCTCGCTTATCATGCGAGTCATGCTCGACGATTCGCGCTCTACTAGAGGCAGTGAGCCATGGAGCAGAAAAGCGCTTGGGTATCCGAAGAATTAATCTGTCGCACCCAGATATCGATCATTTAGCGCTGCACACCTACTCTCTGCCGTTTTTTTTCTTTTTCAGATCAAGTTATTTTGTGCCTTAGGTCCAGTGTCCGCCATCACGAATACAAGGTCACCGATGCGGTACATGAGTCCGTTCGGCAAATACATTGGGGTAAGTCGCGTCCCTGTCGCTCACCGCAAAAAGAACAATGATGCTCTTCTCCGTATAATTGGTTGCCTATCTTTTTCCAATGTAGTAAGTAAAAGGTCAGGATTACCTCATGTTGCGCTCACATATAGAGTTCCTCGCTTTATGTATAGTTTTTTTTCAGGCGTTTGTCAACTCCCTCGGGAGGTACGAGTTCTTGCCAAACAACTTCGTGATGAAGTTGCTCGTCGACGCCGTGTGTAGGCATGAAGGCCCACGGGACGTGTGCGGGAACATCGTCTTCCTCATCTACGGCCCCGAAACGATGGAGCTGAACGTGGTGAGTTTAAAACTTCGAGATAAAATTCATTTCTGCCGCTTAATTTGTCATTGTTTCATTAACGTTTCCATGTCCAAAATGACGAACCTGCGGCAACATGTTGAAGCTGCGAAATTCGTGAACCACTCACTAAAGACTCGACAGAAATAATTGAACAAAGAAACTCTTTGAGCGCTTGCCCTAAAACCTTCACATTTATATCTTTTGCTCGAGCAAATGATGCTCGAGCTACAATGAAGACTACAGCCAAGGCAGCATTTAGGGCTGCACCAAGCTTCTTTTAAGGTGTGTTGAGCATAATCTGTATTGTGGATGGAAGAGCCATGTTAATCATGAAATCAGGTGACTTCTCTACACATAACAACTAAATATAAAATTAACAGGTGTATGAATAAATAACTAAAGGTATAGTATTATAACAGGCGGTTCTGGCATGTGCCTCAGGAGCACCGCTACGCTTCCATTCGACACTTAGGCCAACTCCAGGACAGCGCAACTGTCGTTCTTGAAGCTCCTGAGAAGACTACATGTTGTCAGAAGTGGTTACCTGGCAGAGGGAGTCTTTCCGGGCCTAATAACGTCGGACCAAGCACTGTCGACAGGAGCTCTCTTTAAATTATTGTCTGGAGAGGGCTTCAGCGCTGGTGCGATGTGATCGAGCAAGGGGCTTGGTCTCCAAGTTTTACTGTTGGAGACTTGACCTTCTGGCGCTTTGAAACCAAGCAGCTATGTCAAAGTCATGTTCTCTGTACGAATGGTGAATGTTCTGCCGCACAATAGTGACTCAAGTGAGAGAACGTCTTGACTATAAAAACGAAGCTCGCGTGTTGTGATGCAGTAGTTACGTTCTGGTTCATTAAATTATTTGCTGCACTACCCAATAATTTGTTCGTGGCCACATTTGTTGTTGAGATGGAATGCCGCCGGCCGCAGTGTTACTTGCATATGTAGTAAGAATGAACAATACGTCATTCCTTGGGTAAGCCAGTCGAGGGGTCATGATGATGCATGCTTGAGTGCATCAAAGGATTATTGACATTCGGCGGAGCAGTTGAACACTTTAGACGTATTAGTCAGAGTATAAAGAGGTTTGGTGACTAGTGAAACACCAGTGACAAATTGCCGGTAGTAAGTCCCCAGGCCAGAGAAGCTGAGAACTTCCGCAATTGGTATCGAGGCCGGCCAGTCTGTTAGGACATAACTTTTCTGTTTCATGAGAAACTCCACTGGCGGAAATAATGTGTCTCATATACCAAGTTTTCTGAGCGAAGAGGGTGAATCCTTTAGAAATTAGCTTCAGGTTTTGTGTCCTTAAGCCGATGGATGAGCAGCTCGAGACTTGCCAAATGTTCGGCGAACCTCTTCCCAAGGACAACGATAGTTTTAAAGACATTGGGCTTAGGGGTATGCGCCAGAAGCCTATTGTGCGCGGCGAAAGTGGCCGTCGTTGAGTGATGATATAAAAAAATACCTGGTCTTTAAATATTGCTTGAATTTAAGTGTGCTCTTGACGGCAAAAGAAAACTACCGAATGGTGGTAGATCACATTCCCTCAAAGGCACGCGGTTTCTAATTTCGTCGCTCTTATCGTCCAGACGCGCCTGCCGGTCTTCCTCTGCCACGTGCCAGCCGGAACCTCTGTCAGAACGATGGTTCACTATTCTCAGGTGAGAAGGAACTCAATGCAAAGGACCCGCCGTGCGTTTTTTTCCAGAAAGATCAAACTGACCTTTTTTTTTTTTTTGCGTTTCTTCATTGATATTATCTAAACATTGAGAGAAACTCTACAAATCGCGATGGGAGAAAATCTTCATGGTTTCAAGAATATTAAAAACAATATAGCATTCTATATTCTTTTTTTTTACGTCGAATAAAATTTATGTGTTTCTACTCTGCAATAACCTTTTTGAAAACGGTTCGTGTTAATTTTAATAATTTCAGGAAAGCAACGAGTTCCGCAAGCTTCTGGAGTAAAGCCAACTAAAATCCTGTTTGACGAAGCCATAAGAAGCTTTATTTAAGAACCTTAACTTATTAAATTTATATGACAATTTAACGCGTATCAAATCAACGAAGCACGCTTAAATAAACAATCGCCATCACTGTTGCTTGTATTGCTCAGCGTTTTTGTTATATTACGTTTGGAATTTCAGATTTTAATAAGCGGCCGTTTCCAGAAGTTTGACTTTGGTGAAAACAGGAATCAGTTGGTCTACGGGGCGGTGAGTTTGTTTAATGCAACATTATTTAAGATGCCTGAATTAAATGCCGTTTATGCTTGCCTGAATCGGGTAATAAAATTGATCATATAGCTCAAATTATGTGCTTGCTGTCCAAATAATTTTCCACAACCATAGGAAACTCTTCTACTTTTAAGATCTGTTTCAGTCGTTAAAATTTGTAAATTACCTATAACCTTTTAGTTGCTTTTAGTGAAAGTGGTTTGCCTTTGATCATTGCTCATTACGCAACGCAGGAGAGGAACATCATTACATTAGTTTGTTGACTAGGGGTCCGTGTTGCTTCGGCGACGCATATTCTATCGACAACTATTCATCGACACATATTTCATCAATGCCCATTTCATCAGTGCAGTGACGTTTTGCCGCCAAAATATTTGTATCCCTAGGTAAATTAGACCAGAGTACTGGTTTCACTGAGCTCGGAGAAGGTAGACAGGGAGGTCAGATAACGTTGGCTGTGCGTGTGTAAAGTGTTTCTAAAGGGTTTAACAAATTCTCTGAACAAGCTTGAAGTGATTACCCTAATATGGTTTCCAATGCTAACCTGGCGACTTTGTGAACGTTAACTTAAAGCGAAAGTTAAACCACGTGCTTAGCAACTTTAGGAAGGCAATTGTACTCGTAATAAAATGATTGACCTAACGTTTTTGCGATTGTTGCCCCAACTTAATACAAAACGTAACCAACTGCATTTGCGGACGTTAACCTAATGGGTTAAACCAAGTTGCTTGCAAAGGTTTACCTAACGTGCTCACCAATGCGAAGCAAAAGCGAAAGTTAACATAACGTGCTTGCTAAGATCAACATAACATGCTCGCAAAAGTTCGCCTATCCTATCCTCGCATAACTTAATCTGACCTATGTCACGCAATGCTAAAATATTTTCGTTCGGGCGAAACCTCTAAAATAAATTAGGCGAAGGCACTTAACACTGCTTACGTATAAGAATGCGAAAACACTATAGTCCCACAGGGGAAATGTTTTCGAGTGATATTTTTACACGTATTCAAATTGTTTCTGCCGGTATTAGATTCCGTGTGTGTGTGTCTTCCTTTTGCACACGGCGCTCCGGTGTTGACGTCACGCTCCCCCACTGCGCATGCGCGGCGCCCCCGCCGGATCCACGGCTTCCGTGGCGAAGCATCTGCGTTGCTGTGTTTTTTTCTGTGTTTTATTTCTGAAGCGTGTCCGCTCTGACCTTAAGCTCAATCACGTATTTTTTTCATCTTTCGGGCACAACGCCGCTGGCTTTTCGTGTAATGGGACAAGTAAGGCTTTCGCCTTAAAACAAAATGGTCAACAAAAGGGGTCGATGAAACGATCGCGCGATCTTGTTGACAAAACATAGCAGTGTCAAGCATGCAGTCAGCCAGTAGAAATCCGCTCTTCAAACAATTTCCAGGAGTCAAACGATTTGTTGTAGTCAAGGCTGCTGTCACACCGCTGCTATGTAGATTGCAAGTGAACTCATCTAAAGTCGGCGACCGGTTAAGGGTGCAACAAGACCACGTTCTGGTCACGCGCATTAGCACTCTTTCGAGAAATGTCGGGCTCCACGTGTGCGTCCTCGGCCCAGTGGCTCGGCATTTTTTGTCTCGGCGATGAGCGCTGGAAAAGTGCCCATCCACTGATAGCTCAAGGAATGCAGGACGCAGCTTATTGCGTTCACGATTTTCGCTTCGCAATTTGCTCTTCGGCATTCTTATCATTTTGCTTTTTCATCGTCTGCGCAGAGATACGAAGATAATTGATACTCGCCTCGCCCTATGTTTCTTCACCTGTAAGTGCCTATAGCCTTGAAAGGGTGACCCTCGATTTAGGTAAACACTGTAACCTTCTAAAGCACTCTTGCACTTTCGTAATTTGGGAATTCTTTCTTCCGCAATTTGCTTGTCCGACATTCTTTTAGCTTGCTTATATCAGTTAAAGAAAATACGGGAAGTCTGCAGGCGAGTTGGGGACAGTTGATCATATTGTTTAGCAACCGAAACTGTGGTGAGAGTAAAAAAGAAGAAAAATTTAAGTCGAAGAAAGAGGAACACTAGAGGAACGCCGCCAACTACGCTACACTATTGATTTCTCTGGCTCCAAATGTACAGATGAAGCCGTCGCTACCGACTTTCTTCACAGACAAATACTTTGTTAACAAAACACGCGATTTTTAAAAGGAAGGCCTTGAGACCGATAGAACACTTTCACATGAACAGCACAGTCTGTCTAACAAAGGGGAAGACATCGACATTTGTAGATGTTTTTCACAGAAATAACAAAACCCTCTAAAAATACGGAGCAAGAAAAATAAATGATTCAGCTGTAGGTTTGAGACCTTCCACTCCCGTGTATGTTTCTTCTACTTAAAATTGTAGAAGCACTCGAGCCCAATCACATGCTTCGTTCCCAAACATTTGCGGCCGCACATGGTGCTTGATGTAGTTTTTAAAAGGGCTAATTGACTTCATGGTCCAATTTCAGAGCACGCCGCCGGAGTACGACGTGTCGCGGGTTGCCGTTCCCGTGGCTCTGTTCTGGAGCGAGGGCGACTGGATGGCTGATCCCAGGGACGTCGCCCTGCTGCGGCGCCGTCTGCCCAACGTGGTTCTGGACTTTAAAGTCTCCCAACCAAAGTTCAGTCACATAGACTTCGCCGCCGGGATCCACGCTAAGGCGCTCGTCTATGAGCCTATGATGAAGCTGATGGCGAGCTACAAATCAGCCGGAGAATAGCCCTCCCTGGTATTGTTGGTCAGGACCTGGAAAACGTCATCACAATAAACACATGACATTTGAGTATTTGTCGAAGATCTATACATCAACAAATACAACATGCGACATAGTTACCTCCAACAAGCGATAGGCGATTTCTTCAGAGTCCTCGATTTGCCTGAAAATGTTCGAAACGCACCAACAAACATAGCTGAAATAATGACCCCAACATTGGTTCAATATAATTGTTTTTGCAAATATATTCAATTTACAATGTTGGTACTCACCGTCTTCTTCAAAGCGAAATTCTACTGGACACAATAACTAGGTGACGTCAGCGGGTCGCATGGGTTCATACTTCGGACTGTAAACTTTGTTTCCAACTAATTACATGCAGTTTCATGGGGTCAAATGAATGCTTTAGAAGCTCGCTCAAGTACCCGCGCTGCAGCACGGCATTTGCTAACTTTATTTCGTCTCACTTTATTTATTGTTCCTCAAAGACACCCTTTCGAACGTTTTATATGAGCGAGGATTTGCGAGCAGCAAAAAAACATATAAATCTTTCGGTTGAAAAAAAAAAGATCAAACAACAAATAACAAGATCAGAGATGCCCCTGATTGATTCAAGTTATGTACACAACGTCAAGTATATTGAAGCCGAAACCGCTGATCGTCTTGGAACTAAATCAACAATAAACCTTGCCATTTCTTTCTAAACAACAACACGTCACGTTCCGTTGCCACAGAGTCTGAGAGCGCGTTTCAATCTGTAAGACTGCAAACTAACGAAGAAGAGAGGAATATACTAGTGCGTGATGCAGACAATTCCACTTTCTGGATGTTATCACATCGGGCCGAAATATGGGTTGCAGGCCCACATAAAGCTTTTCTGAAAGTAGAGTCACTGTAATGAATTAGACGCAAAAAAAAAAAAAAAACACAAGCGCAAAAGCTTTTTTTATTATCTCCAAAGAAGGCAGACTCAGATTTTGTTTTAAACTCGTGGCACTGGTTTGGTAAGAGTATTTTCCAGAAATAAAGCGGGCGGCTTTATTTTGTTAGGCTTTAAGATTTTTGACGAGGTAATTTTGGTAAGGGTTAAAGATTAAAACTACATATTATAGTTTTGGTAGAATTAAAGTTTTACAGGCAAGCAGGCGTGTCTCCTGGGGTGCCTGGTACAGTGTACGTCTTAGAAAGCCGAGTGTTTTGGGTGCGTTTAACATGATCTGATCAGTGTGCTCGTTGCGAGTTAAGCTGGACTTGAAAAGAACGCCTAGATATTTTTAAGACGTGGGAACTTCCAGTTCGAAAGAGAGGAGGCTGTACTGGGTCAATATCAAATTCGTTTTATTGCTAACTCTCGTTAGCCGGTATTCGCTACTTTTAATGTTAAGTTTCCGTTCTAAGTATCAATCACTAATTTTGTCAAGGCCACTTTGTCGAGCCGAGTATCATCTGTATTAGTTAATTTTCAGTATATGACCCAATCGTGTGCAAAAAAATCTCATTTTTGATGTTAAGGTGGATGGTAGATCATTGATATAAGTGAGAAACAATAGGGGAACAATTACGCTACTCTGAGGAACGCCTGATATCACGGAAAGTTTGGAGAAAAGGGTATCGTTTAACTTTACTTATAGTGTTCTACCACGCAAAAAAGCTGCAATCCATTCTAGGATATATAAATCTATTTGAAGATGGGACAATATTAAAAGTAGGCGACCATGCGGAACTGTATCAATTGCATTTGCAAAGTCGATGAAGATAACATCAACCTGGGTGCCAGCATCAGTTTCAAAGTGCAGATCTGTGATGGACCCAAATAGTTGAGTGTTACGTGAGTGGTTTTGTCTGAAGCCGTGCTGATTCGAAAGAAGATATTCATTGCCGTCGAGGTTGGACATGATAGCTGTAAAATTGACGTGCTCCATTACCCTGCACGGAGCGCTTGTGAAATAATCCGATAATTGGAGGGGTCGGACTTTATGTCAGATATGATGATTGGTTGGATGATAGCAAAACCCCAGTCAGTTGGAGCAGTAGCAGTGTCCAGACTTTGCTGAAAAAGCAGAAATAAAAGAACAAAGGCCGAGTGGTTTAACATTTTAGTACCTTCGACGATATGGCACCATTGCCGGGGGCGCAGTGAGACGGAAGTTAATAATTCTGGCGATACAGGTACTTGTAAATGAAATGGGAGGCATGGGTAAAAATTGAAACTCCGGGGGCGAAGAAAGCGGACATGTTTTTTGAGTGAACACAATCGAGAAAAAGCTATTAAACACATAGATTACTTCGAGCTTCACTAAGATTTAATATTTTCCTGAACTTACGAGAAACGTAAATTGAAGATCAGGGGTTCAGGCAGTTTGTCTCCGAAAAACCGCTTTTTTGCCTTTATATATTTTTTTCTTATATTTGTTTACCAAAGACCATGGGCAAACCAATCATCGTCTCAGTTAGTTCTTTCTGCTTTCTGGAACAACCTCTTCTTTTTGTTCAACATGCTTTTCAGGGAATTTGTGAATCAGAGTGAGACATAGTCGGATGCGATATTGATTTGGGGAATGTTGGTTTACACCAAATTTTGAATTGCGTGTTTAAATAGAGTACAAATTGCTTCGACGAAGCGATCGTCATAATGTGGAAAAAAGTATTAAAAAACATTCATTTAGCGAGATATTCAGAGCTTACATATTTGCCGGAGCGTAGTTATACATTATCTTGCTATTGTTTGCTCGGTTTTCGGAGGTAAAGGTAGTTTCAACGCGAATAATCACATGATCACTCATGAAATAAAGAATGATTATTATGCTTTGCTGGGTCAGGGTTGTTGAAAAAAATAGGTATAATTGGTGCAGCCCGAAACAACTAAACAAGGCAAGAAATACATTGCAGTGATCTGGATTTGCACACTAAATGAGGGACCAAGCGTCGCCCAGTCATTAACCTGAAATATTGAAGTCGCCTGCTAATATTACGTCGCTGTTTGACTGAGCTTTTCTTAACAGCCCCAGTCAACTATACATGGCATCATGAAATTCACTGGAGTTTGTGTTTGGCGATGAAACGTTGGCACCGATGAAAACTTGAGGAAAAACCAGCTGCAGACGTATCCACGTTTCAAGGAACGTGTCATAAGTTATTAACGCACATTTTAAATTAGCTTTATCTCTAAAGAGTACACCACCGCTCCTTACGTTTGGACGGTCCTTACGATATAAGTTATATGATTTGTTCAGTGTTAACTCTTTGTTGTACTCGCGCGACGTCAACCAGGTTTCAGTTCCAATGATTATGTCAGGTTTGCAAGAGGCGGAAATGTATTCAAATTCATCTTGTTTTGCAGGTAAACTACGAAACTTTACAACAAGAATGGACAATGGGGGATTAACAAAACGTTGAAGTACATTCCGGTTTCGTCACTCGTCTGCGCGGACAAGTTCATGTCGCCTTTGAACAGGTGCAACAGTTTCAGTAGCACAGTCATACACATGCGTTTCTTTAGCAACACGTAATTTATCAAACGAATGTTTGTACCTCATATGCTGATTCCTAAACCGGGCGGCAAAACCCAGCAACTTTTTTTTTTTTTGGAAACGTGCATTCGGTGAAAAGTTTTCCAAAAACTATACCCTCGCTGACACGTTTATTAATTTGGCAGCGTTCGGAGGACGTTATCTTTGCCTTTGAAGCTGAGAAATCGGACAACTGTTCGACGATTAGAACCTAGACGCTTTGGCCCCAGTCGATGTGCTTTTTCTATTTAGCCAAAATTAGGCGTCAGTTTTTTTATAAAGTTAGATACCACTTCTTGTGTGTCACTCCAGCTAGGATTCGTTTCCACGTTCCTACAAACCGCAAAATATGGGATTGTTTCTGCGCATCTGCCCATTCATGTCATCCAAAGAGTTCCTTAACACAGAAAGTTGCTCATGCGCGCTCGCAGATTCCCGCTCCACAATACCAAGTGTTTCGGTCACGTTAGCCAGGTTCTCCCTTGTTAGGCCGAATTCAGCAACTCTGACTTTCAGGCTGGATACAAGATTGTCCAGGTCCGCAATACCTTTGTTTATTTCGTTTAGTTTTGATGTGTTTTCCTTCTGGTTTTAATTGCTACTTGCTATCAAACTATCAATGAATTCAGGCAGTTTATCTATTTTTTTCAGCGTTAGTAGAATCTGAATATAGATCAACGTCACCTGCTGATTAAAAATCGCAGGAAAAGTTAAGTCTGGACAGCGAAAAGTATGAAATAACTAAACGTTCTCAAACCAAAAATGTTGAACAGTTTTTGTAATAACTGAAGAGTCTTTCTTTTCGAGCAGGACGAAAGCATTCCAAATCGTATTCGGTACGTCACAACGTCAACACCCATTTATACACTCAGATGTGATTTGCAGCCAAAGTAACTCAAAAGACACGGCAATGACTGAGGAGGTACTTAAGTGTACACACCTGTAGATAATTCGCGACACGTTTAGTGCGCACACGTACGTAAAGCTTGTCTGCAAACCCAGAGGCTGCCGTCCAGCCGATCCTTGTTGTAGCCTTCAGACGATGTCACGTGGGGGTGATGCGGCTTCTGCTAACGAGATGACTGTAGCAACAGGCGTTCCAAACTTAGATGACGACACTTGAAATAGTGGCGGCACGTGGCAAACAATAGCACTGCCGAACCGGCAACACACGATGTTCACTCAAGGGTGGGCGAGGCTCCTGTAGAAAGATTCGCGACACGTTTAGTGCAATGGTAGAGCTTGGCTGCAAATCTCAAGGCTGCCGTCCAGGCGATCCTTGTTGTAGCCTTCTGACGAGGTCACGTGGTGGTGACGCGGCCTCAGGTAACGAGATGACGGTAGAGATAGGTGTTCAAAACTTTGATGACGACGCTTGAGATCGTAGCACACGCGGCAAACAAAAGCACTGCCCAGTCGGCATCAGACCATGTTCGCTCAAGGGTGGGCTAGGCTCCTGTGGAAGATTCGCGACACGTTTAGTGCACTGGCTTGGCTGCAAATCCCGAGGCGGCTGTCCTGCCGATCCT